CCTCCAACGAGCTCAGCTGCCAGCTTCTCAGCTGCAAGTTTCTCAGCGGCAAGTTTCTCAGCTGCCATTTTCTCAGCTGCAAGTTTCTCAGCTGCCCTTTTCTCAGCTGCAAGTTTCTCTGCTGCCCTTTTCTCCGCTGCAAGTTTCTCAGCGGCAAGTTTCTCAGCTGCCAGTTTCTCCGCTGCAAGTTTCTCAGCGGCAAGTTTCTCAGCTGCCCTTTTCTCAGCGGCAAGTTTCTCAGCTGCCCTTTTCTGCGCTGCAAGTTTCTCAGCTGCCCTTTTCTCCGCTGCAAGTTTCTCAGCGGCAAGTTTCTCCGCTGCGAGTTTCTCAGCGGCAAGTTTCTCTGCTTCAATCTGCGCAGCATTCTTACAACTTGAAAATTTAGAATAGACCTCACTGACATCTGATAAGTTGTAGGCCTCCTGAAATTTAGCCTGTGCTTCTGAAAATTTACCATTATTGAGCAAATTCTGCCCCTCAACGGCAATATTTGTTGCATCTCTACTATTTTCGAATTTTCGCTCATCACTAGAGCCGCTGACACATGTGTGATAAGCTGCATTAAATAATTTTTTTGCTTCTTCGAATTCTCCCTGACTACAAAATTCTAATGCTTTTTTGTTTGCAGCATCAGCGGCTTGATTTTTGGTCTCACCTAAATATTCGTTTCCATAGAAATAGTGATAACTTTCCGTATAATGAGTCATTAATTCAGTAAACCCGAGAGTAAAAACACCAGCTAAAACTCTAGCTGTAGTATTTGTTTGAGTCATAGTTGTATATTTCGTTACGCCACCAGGCAATAATTCTGTTTTTGTGGCTTTGTCCTTAATACTGAGTAACACTGGTACTGCGACTGCGGCGAGCATCGTTTTGTGTTTTTTTCTCTTCTTCCTAAAAATAGAACTCGTCAGTTGAAACTCTATGGTTTAGTTTTTTTAAAATTATCTATTAATGTCTTTTGCAAATTTAATTTAAACTTTTTTATTTTCCAACAAATCGAGCAGCCTCATCGCATGTTGATTGAAGTTGAACAGATGTGACAATAATGTGACAAAATATTGCATCTAGTATAAAGTCGATGCATCTAGATGTAAAGGTGGAAGCGAGTCACTCTCACCTTCTCCCCCCCTCCATCCACCTCTTGTCTCTTTTCGCCTTCAATCTTTACATCTAGATGTAGATGCATCGACTTTATACTAAATGTGTATATTCTGCCACGTATGTAACAACAAGAAAAAAGAACAATACGTAAAAAAAGAGAAAGAGAGAAGAGAAAGAAATAATCAAAAGGGTCGTAAAGTTGGAAAAGGACTTATGTTATCACAAAGGAAACGTTTTTCTCTTGTTTCAGAAGTCTTCAGAAATCTGCTAGGGAGTACAGTTCTACTTTGGCGGGAAAAGAAGGATCGCACGTCATTGGATCCGGCGAAAACGTCCTGCATCCTTCAAAAATTTTAAAACAGAAAGATATATGATTTTAATTTTATCTTTTTCGAGAGAGAGCATGTCATTGTTTTTAAGAAGTAAATGATCCATTGTTACGTCGGTTATTTGAAGTATAAACTGAAACGTTTCTAATAGTTTTGAACGTTGTGCTATATACTTTGCACAAAAAAAAGAAAAAGTGAGATGATGATTCTCTTTTATATCCGCACTCGCATTCGGGGGCAGTCACTATATGCGTTTTAGCCAAATCAATCACACAGCCTCATTCAATTGTGTGAAATCCAATCGAAAGCGTGAAAAGTCTATTTCCGAAATTCTTTTAGTCACAAGTGGAAGATTCAATATCTGTAAAACAGGTTGTTTCACCCTAAATTTAAACGTTGCTGAGTTTTTCGAATTTTTTACATCGATTGATAAGTTGTTCCATAATTGAATGATAGATGGTATAAAACTGTTCCTGAGTACAAGCAAACCACCATGATGAGACGGTAGCAGTCCTCGTGCTTGGCTCCGCAATGGATAACTTACAGGCGTCTGTTGTGGTAATAAATCTCTAAGGGGTACTTGTCCTTTTATCCCTTTGTAGAAAAGACATAGTCGATAAGCATCGAACATGTCATATCTTACAGTATTTGAATTCTCATTTTTTTTCACGTAAAAGGGAGCCCACCCGAGTTCAGAACAACCCTACAGGCATCTCATTGAGGTATATTTTTACGTGCTCAAACCGTGTAGCATATTCATCTGAAACAAAATCTCCTTTGTTTCAGATGAATATGCTGCACCACTCATTTTAATAGAGTTGAAAATGCGTTCGTTGATCATCCTTGACGTCAATATTGACCCGCTTGTCGGACAGACGAACTTTTGCAACGCATGTGAAAAAAATTCTTTCAAATATGTTGTATGTTTTCTCACCTCAATGAGATGCCTATTTGGTCGCTCTGCATGATCTCTTTACATGCAGATCTCTTCACGCTAATAAAACCGTTCGGAAAAGCCCTTCACCGCTCATTCTGATAGATTAAGAAGCTGAGAGTCGTTTGAAATTGCTAACGCTTTTGTAGCTATTGTAATAAAAATAAAAACACGAATTTTTTATCGTTGAGCCAACTTTTTATTAGATTGCTCGAAAAACGTAACGCCGTCACGACATACATTTAATGATATATTAACATCTTATTATAAAGAGTAACGACAACACCGTAACGGAGACTGTTTTTTATCTAACACAGCATCCCGTGAAGATCGAGCAAATTTGTTTGTTCAATTCATAGCTTCAATTGTTATGTACTACTGTTATATGAGAAAAAATTTAGAAAACACTTCACTTCGCAGAAAAATATGGATTTCTGAACCATGCTCACCAAAATAAGCTCGTTTTTGTAATGCCGGGACGCCCTTTATTTTGCCATATCATCACAAAGACTTATTCAAACTTTATTAAACTTCCGGATTTTATCCGGAAGACAAAGAAGAAGGAATGACGTAAGAATGAGTTCTTCAGCTGGTATGCTTGTTGAGAAAAGTCAAACAAATAGTGGCCAAAACGTAACGCCGATACACTTCCCGAAGCCGTATAATCTCTCAAATGATTATGACTGATACTCCTTAACCGGTGATTATAACTGCTGCAGAAGTCCATTGCTATGAGCAGTTTGTATGATATTTTATGAAGGGCGCTTTCATTGGGTAGTTTACTTATATTGTTGCAACAATAGACCCTGAAGTTTACGTTTCAGTTCGATGTAAACATCGTTTATCATTCATAGATTTACTCAGAGGTTTTTAAACATATCGAAAATCTTTGCAATATTTATAAATAGAACTTCAAAGAAAAAGAGAATTGAAAGCAAATATGACTCACTCTTCGTTGTTTGGTTTCTTCTTTGATTGTTGTTTATTATTGTATAAAAACAAATGTTTTCTTTCGATGTAATAACGATAAATGATGTCTTGATTGATATAGAAAATGTTCGCGTCAGTTCTTCATATGCAACGTATAATTTGCTGTTTGGTAATAATCTCACGATATTAAGAAAATTTGTTTCGCGTTCTATTCGATGCTTCTACTTTTATAATAAGGATACACAGCAATTTATCTAAAATTGCTCAGAAAACAAAACACCATGAAAAAACAAAGACTGAGAAACAGACTGATCTGCTGTTTCTTGTTTTTCAATATATTATATTTAGCAATACACAATATTGCCAAAAGATGAACAATGCAATGCCAATTCATAATTGGTAAGAAAACAATGCGTTTTTCTTTTCGTTGAATCATTTATTGTTCCTGTTTAAGATTAACGAATAAAATACGACTGAAATTCTGTTTTGGCTATGCCAGAATGATAATCGGATTAAAATAATTTATTTTATTTTTCCATCGAAATAATAAAAATTAAAAAGTTAACAAAGAAGAAAAAAAGACTTAAAAAAGAATAAAAGATGGCAAGATGGTTGGGTTTTCTCTGTACAAAAACGTTTTCAATACTTCATCAGTTGGCCAGAGAAAGAAAATGAGCGGGAATGCGATTCACATCGGTTAATAAAGTGAATAGAGTGAATAGGGTAAGAGAAGAATGCTCTAGGAAAATGCATAACTGTTTGTGCATGCAGTATATGAGTGGTAATAAAAAGAATATGGGATATTTTGATGATTCGGTAGTGGAATGCGAGCAACAGAAAAAAATGAAACTATCATAGGATTGGAAAGAAAGAGAGA